CCAGCTAAAAACCCTTAAGTTCTTAGGATTTGAATAATATTTCTGCTTTGGAAATCATAATAAAAATTATCTCTGATAGAAAACTGTCTTACCTCACAAGTAGATTGTGATTTAATTATTTTTGTTAGTATTTAGTTTTGATTTCATATCTCTCCATATTCACTTGTTCCAAGAACTATGGCATTATATTCCTTCAATTTTTGTTCTCTGCCTGCATGTTTTCTGTTTCAGCAGACATTGATTTTATGTTTCTCAAATCTATTTGTAGAGTCTGCTTCTCCTATAGTAACTAATTTATTGAAAATCTTTTGTTATTAGGACTCATCAATCTAGCAAATAAAATACCATTAAAAAAAATAATAAAATTCTCTGTACCTTTTCTTAAGATGGGCATTTGACCTTCCTCTTCTACCTTAGGAACTTTAAAAATTATATCTTTTTCTCTTTGCACCCCAATCCACCCACCCCTCCAAAAAAATTTGTATTCATTTGCATACCTTTATTTTATAAAATTGTATTTTGATATTTGGAAGCTTAATTTGTGCTATGTTTAGAAAGTCTGTTTCTGGATAATAGATTGCAATATTCTATTCTATATAACTGAATGTTTTCAGTCAAAACTTTTGTTTACTTGTTTGTTTGTTTGTTTTGACCCCAAAGGATTTTCAGCTACTTGGATTCCCTTATGAAAACTGTTTCCTAATGCAGATTATATTAGTACTTTGGCAACAAAACACCACTTATGTTTGGCTTAATACAAAGGAAAATTCAATTTGAAGATTACTGTCACTGAAAGTACCTGTACTGTGCATTATCTTTTTCAATATGAATATGTATTTTCCAAACTGGACTACAACTTTCATGGGACAGCAGAAACAGACTTTCAGTCTGTATCACAGTGACTAGGGAAAATAGAGTATGGTGTAGTGTAGGAGCCACCATCTATCATCAAATTTTAACCGTGCAAGAAAATAATGCAGTGACCCCTGAAAAATAAAGATCCCCATCAGACACTACAACAACATTTCCAAAACAGAACTTTCTGAATTTTCACTGAAAGGTTTGTTTTCCATATACAGGAGACAGTGAGGAGGGAGGCGGGGGGGGGGGGGGGGGGGGGGGAGGGGGGAGGGGGGAGGGGGAGGGCGGGGCGTAGGGGTAGTGAAATTTTTTCAAATATGCCTTCCCAGAAATATCTTTTTGATGCATTATGGCAGTTACTACTCACATATCCCTGAGCTGCAGACATGGTTATCTTTAATGTTCAATATGCATGTCATGCTCCTATCATAGTAACTTTCAATGAAAGTGTAAGGAGAGTATTAACTGGAATGCATTGACTTTATGACTTGTTGTTATATAAAAGTAAAGCAATTAAATTGTGCCATGACTGTGCATCCTGTCAAATTGCAACTCTCAAGCAGATGTTTTACTGCATTCAATCTTTTTATACTTCATTGTCATGGAAGTAAATGAAGTTTTTAAATGAGAATTGTATAAGATACATAAAAAGGATTATTACAAATTTTAAAATATCACTTTATAGACAGTTAGCTTGGTAAGTGATGGCATAATAATGACAAATCACCATTTTTCTAGAGTGCTCATTAGTGGCAAGACTCTCTACAAACCTTAATTTCCCTGTTACTAGAGGGGAGAAAAAAAACGAAAAAAAAAAAAAAAAAAAAAAAAAAAAAAAACAGAGGCTGGTAAGTATCTGCCGTATTTCAAAGGGAGCTACCAGCAGCAGAATAGCACAGGTATTTATATGTTTTTAATACAACCCAATGTTAATGGCTTTTGTGTGGTGACTATATGTTTCCATTTTCTAACTGTGTGCAAGTGTATAGGACAAATTCCATCAGAGACAAAAGAGTCAGATCCCTGCCTTGAACAGGAAAAGGAGATACAAAAGACTATTTTGGGTAAGCTAGATGCATTTGGATTGGCTGGGGTTGATATTTAAAGATCTGACTACATCTCACATTCAGAGTAGGTCATGTAGAGACAAACTTTGTAGCGGTAGGGATGGTAACCAGAAGAGACTGGCTCTAGAAGCTGAATCAATCTGTTTGTAAGTTTGCTGTGGTTGCCTTATATGCTTATATGCTTCTGGTCCTGACTCTGTGTCACTCTCACGGTGTTTAAGTAATGTTATAATTCCAGAAATAAATTCAGAAAAGTTGGAATTATTTTCACATAAATGAGAGACAAAATAGTTCCCAAAATAGGTGTTATTGCTTCTTTAGCGGGTATGCCATTTGAGTGCTTATTATAATAACAGCTAGGAATAATTGAGACTGATGAATTCTAAAAGGATTGGCCTATTTTACTTATATCTTAGCCAAAGTGATAGTTTTTTAACTCTACAGCAAGAGATTTTTTTTTTCTTTCACTGAAAATAGACTTCATGGTTTAAATGTCATTGCTAACTTTATTTCTGACACTCAGCTAAGGTTTAAAAAAACCCTTTTGTTCCATTTGTCAATGTGTATACATGTTGTCATATTTTCAGGTTTACACAAAGGAAAGAAACAACTTACAGTAGTACATGAAAGAAGGAGTAACTCACAGGACATATGGCATCAGAGATAATTTTTATTATAAAAAAAATAGAAATTGAACTTAATTTGAAATTTACATAGCAGTTGAAGTTTACTAGTGAACCCAAGGGTATATAATACATTTTTTTTTTCCTTCTGTTTTCTTTTTGAACATCAAGGACTCAGTACTATCTGGATGGATACGTACCAGATGTCTCATCAGTCCAGTGATTCTGTGATAGAAAAAATGGTATAAGGTTTCTTCTTGCAGTTATTAGACAGCTGAGGATGACAAATGGAATGAGAGACCTTTCTCCTTTGCCTGTTTTACTACTTCAAAGTGTACTGTCAGAATGTCATTTACAGGTGTCCATAATCTTTGTGTGTATCAGTATAATTTATAATTTTAAGTTTCAATTTATCAACATGTCAATTTATCATTATCAGTCTAAAAATAATAGTACATGGATAGAAGACATTTAGGTATTTATATTTGAAACTTTTAAATAGTTTCTATTTAGATAGCTTAAAATAATTTAACCATTCAATAAACAAACTTTTATTTTTTTTATAATCTTAACTGAAAAGAACATCCTTGTTCAGAAAATTGTCACACAAGTGATTCTCTAAATTAGGGCTAGAAAGCAGAAAAATAAAAAATTATGCAATTAATCAATTCTAACATATTAAATATAAACAACATACTACTTAACAAGAAAACAAAATGCTTTAGGAATTGATTTAAAAAAATGGATACATGGAATAGAAATGCAACAGGATTTAAATCTTACTTTTAGCAGAAGATTCCAAACATTTAAATGTTCAAACATTATTTTTGAACTCTATTCAAAGCTGGGGCTACTAGGCAGCTCCTCTACACTTTAAAATTCACTCAAAGCTTGGAACATTTAACAGCCGGGGTTGTAGTACATTCACATACTAGGAAGTAAGTTATTTCTTTTGATTTTTAAGGTCTGACACAACAGTTATCCTTGGAGCATTCTTTCTTGGAAATTGTTCAAATGAAATGATGTGTTGGATTTGAGAAACATCTTATCTCAGCAACATGTCCAGTGTACTTTTGCATTTTTTATCTTTTGAAGCTGCAGTTAGATTAATACAAATATAATATGTGATCATATAAAAAGCTGTAACATTTGTATTGAATTTCCTCATTAGCAGAAGTTTTGCTGAAATTAAGATAGCAACAGCATAACTACAGAGCATTACTCACACTTCAGCCTTTAACCTAGGCCCCAAACTCCACATCATGTCCCAGTAAGGTGAACAGAGTTGATCAGTAGATGCTTAATGTAAAATCCAAATTGAATATGAATGGATTCTGCCCTTTGAGAATCACATGCTAGGAGTGGGTGCAAACTGAGCCAGTTTCTGTAGTACTGCCTCTGTGCTGCTCTTGTTTGGTGCTTTGACTTCTCAGTGGATTAATTCAACACCTTGTTAAAATTCTCCTTGTAGGTAAGATAGGATCTCATGTGAGAGTGAGCGTGTGAGAGTGATTCTTATCCTTTAAATACTTACAAAGTGCAGCCTCTGAAAATAATATGTGATGACTGCAGTCGCCTGTCTACTTTAATGTAGTTTAGTTTTCAAACACAAAACTTGATTATGGATTTTAACAGACTCAAAAATCTTCCTGTATTTGGCACTGCTCCTTAATCTGTATTTATTTCTATAAATATTAGTCCACATATGCACCCTATTTCTAATTTTAGATTATGAATATAACTATGCCATTTTAGAAGCCTCTCCATCTGTTCTTAAATGTACCCAAAAAGTAGAATGAATCTGAAGAAAATATAGAAACATGCAAATAATAACTGTAAGAACTAGGCGGTATCATAAACAGGGGGCTTTAGTCTGAAATCCTTCCAATATTTTCATGATCAAAAAGAAGGCATTATCCAAAACACAAGCAAATTATTATGAATGTGATTTCTGAAATAACACAAGGGAAATACAGTCCTGCAGTACATACTGCAGTGTAGTGGTTGGTGCTATCTCCTTCTATGCTCTTGCTATTTTACAACCCAGCTACAGATCTTGAGGAATTCATGAGCAAGATATTGCCTTCTGAAGATGATTTTAGTCTGATTTTTCCTGCTGCCTCCAAAGTGTGGTGGAGTCCTCTCTGAACCACTTAGAACTGTAAGGGAAGACAGCGGCTAGCATACCAATCATATAGTCCAACCATAAACAGCAAACAATTCTTGATATTGATATGTGAATCAATCCATATAACATGCTTGCAAGCACTGGTTAGTATGCAAAATCTAAATCTAGTGTCTGATAAATGTTTTAATGTTTGTAAATACGCTGCTAATCTTATGCCTAGAGATAAGTAAGTGCTTCCATAAAGCCAGTCATCAGAAAACCTTTTTTAAAAAAATTCTTTAATAGGCATTGCTTGTGTGCAGGGGAGCAGTATTTTTTTTTTTTTTTTTTGCCTTATTCTTTTTGCCTTAAGTGTTTTTTGCCCTTATTATTTTATTTAAAACCATTTGTCATTAGTCTAAAATTCCTTCAGATTTTCCCCTGAGAACCCTAAAACAGAAGGTGAGAACATGGACTCAGTCAGGGTATCATTTTGTCAGTATTCGTTGTCAGCTTTTGTAGATTCAGTTACTGCTCAGATAAAAAACCAATTTGATCAAATGTTGAACAATGGTAAATCTGTGCTTTCATATATATAAAAATCTTACTTAGTGGGAGAATGGATTAAATTTTTCAGATGGGCCAAATGTAACTTAGTTACATTAATTTGGCATAGGATATTTCCTAAAATAGAAGTTCTTTACAAATTGTGCATTGTCCTCAATCCTTTATGAGGCAAACTGATTTGCTAAAGGTAAAAATGATTTGAATGGACTCTGTTCTAGCAAATTGAGTTTATTTTGCCTAAAACGTTAAAACATTCTGAAGTACTGTGTAATAAAACAGCTCAGCCTACAACCAAATAGTAAAATGCATCTGGAAAAAGAACTTAAAATCTTGTCTCTAAGTACCCTGACTGAGTCAGGAATTTCTGAAAATGGACTCATGTACATGCATACTACCATCTTAGGACAACACACATGCTTTAAATTAAGGAGAAAGTGTTTTGTTTGATTGTTTGTTTTTTGATTATTTTTTTCCTTTAAATATTTTGGAAAATGAATATCTCCATTTTCTGTTTTTGACTGAGCATTCTCTAGTAGACGGTCTTGCTTCAAATGCCAAAATATATATTTCAAAACGTGTGGTTGTTTTTTTTACTTAGTCTGATGTAATATATGAGCTAATTTTATAACGTACACTTGTATGTCTGAAAATTATATGTTAAAGAGTCTGACAAACAACAGAATCTGCATCAACACCAACCACATATTGTTTCTTTCATCAGAAATTTTGTTTATTTATTTATTTATTTTAATGTAAAAAGCACATTGTCATTGTTGTTGCTGTTATTGATTGTGTGATCTATTGTCTCTTGTCCTGCACGCCTTGGCATTTTCCTACAAGAAAATATTTATTGCAGACAGCTTATTTCAGTCAGTGACTTATTGATGTATGTTTCTTCTGTGATATATGTTTTAAATACATGTAGGTTTATAAATTTTAAAATTTAAATGTTTTTAAATAGGTTTATTTTTTTTTCTTTTTCTGTATGCTAACAAAAACACTTGTGAAATAGAGTTTTCACTGACTCCAAAGACTTGGGCTTTGCAGGGAAAGCCTCCTTTCTAATATGTCCTTTTATGTTATATCTAACGTGGCCACTGAGTAGTTTCTGGCTGGAATATTCACACACATATGACCTAGCTTTATTACAGGCCTGTCAAAACATGGGCCTGCAGTTTCACAGGGCATTGTGCTATTTGTCCCAAACCATCCCTTCGAGCATGAATCAAAGAGTTATTAAATTCTGAATAACATGAACTAACAGCTTTTCCTGATCGTGGTGGAATACATCATAGCTTCTTGAATCTTTCAGATGAGGAGAATTTCACACATCTGATTTCTCTATGCTGTGATTTGCTTAGAGAAGAAAACAAAAGCTTTACAGAGACTCAGACTGAGAGGTAGGAAGGATTGTGAAGGCTTTACTTCACTTTTGCTGATTTATTACTTTTTTATTAATAATAATAATTATTATTTATTTTCTCAAGCCATGTAATAAAAACATGACATACAAAAGTCAAGGGGAAAAAAATCTAATTGTCTGGTCTCTATCAGATGCCTAATGGCATCAGATGTTACCAGTTGTTACCAGTGTTATGGAAAACTACTGGCTTTAACATCTGCTCTTACACACCTCCTTAGCTGAACAGTCCAGAAGCTTGGAAAGAAAGTCATCCAAAAGGCTGCCATATTGGCAGCCATGTGTTGAAGGATGTCAGTAAGTTTAAAAGATCAAGGAGATGAATTTACATATCCACCTTCCAATTTATTTATTTATTTATTTATTTATTGGGGAAAAAAAAAAAAAAAAAAAAAAAAAAAACACAGGAGAAGCCCAGATATTCACTTCAGCTGTTGCTGTGAAACCTCAACTCCCATTTCAACTTCATTTATACAGCTGAGAAGACCAACTGTATAAAGGCTTCAACTGGGAGCTCTAGTTTTAAATTGTTTTCACATCTCAGATACAGATTCCCTGCGGAAGGACATCATCACCTTGTGTTCAGAGTGACTTGTCACTGCATGAAAAGTCAGAGCAGCCTGGGGCTACAGGTGAGGACTGATTGCCCACAGAAATGGAAGTGGAGTAGAAATGGAGCGGCTGGAAGGAGAGGGAAGGTATTCATTACAGCAGAGTTAATTGTGATTGTAGGGTACCAGCTGATGTGGTAGCTTGCTTCAGTTAATGTTCTTTCAAGACCTGAGACAGAAATCAGAGATCAGCTTTAGTTAATATGGAATTGGAACATGCTGATGTAGTAGTTTTCAACTGCAAAGTCATGAAGAATTGAAACTACAGAGGAGTAAGTCTTCCAGTCTTGATTGATTAAAATGAGTCTTTCTTAAGAGAAAGATAATAGTAGCTGTAATATGGAACAACCCCTTACAACAGAAAGATTAATGCCCCAAAGACTTACTGTACCAAGGACAAAAAAAAATTGAGATAAGAATAAACTGTACTTTAATACAGTGACTGCAAATTCAAATTGCCTAAAATAATAAAATCTTAATCCAGAATGTAAATAAAGAAGATGAAGATACATACTGTGATAACAAGCAGAAGACAGTGCATTACCTGGCAACTGGTAAAAAAGATGCAAGAATTGCGGCAGGGTTTGCATGAGCTGTTCAGCACCCATAGAGCATGTACAGTGTGTGTAAAGAGAACATCTGCAGAGCAAGCTTAAATGTAAGATTTTTACTTCTACTTTCCTCTCCTGGTGAATATAAGAATGAGATGTGCTTCAATAGAGCACTGTACTGCTAAGCAAAGTTATTCAGCATGGTTTTAAAAGCTTTAAAAGCTTTACCTTATGAAAATGCTACTTTCCTTGAAGAGTAAGGGATCAAATCCATCTTTCAGGAGTTTGAACACATTTCCCAGTGTTAAGGGAGTGCTCAGTAAGGTAAAATCTAAAGCTGAATGTAAGTTAGTGACACACAATCCAATCAGAAAAACTTCCAGTGTCATAAAGCAGACAAAGCAAAATAAACAGGCAGTGCTGTGGAGGTTAGGCAGGGTGAGAGGGGAGAGAGGGATGGTGTGGAAGAATGAGGAAACAACACAAAATCAAACAGAGAAAATGTTCTTTATACAAACCCAAACACTGGTGGTCTTCAGGAAGAGATATCCTTCCTTTGGGGACAAAAAAAAAAAAAAAAAAAAAAAAAATCATTTGTGTGGTGTAGAATCTTTCAGCAAAGAAACAAGTCTGTGAACATGTAACAGTGCAAGATTCTATTTCTTCAATTTGTTTGTTGGGCAATAAAACAGAATAGCACAGATTCTCAGATTAAAAATTAATCTAACAAGGAAAAGGGATTTTTTGAAGCAAGCCTGAGCTCATTTGTCACCAACTTGTTTGCTGACTGTCAAAGTTGCTTACCAATAAGCACATATTTTTCTTCAGTCTCAGTTCTAAAATCATCACCCTAGTAATGCTGCATTGTGAGATGCACACCTCAAATCTTCATAATCCGAGATGCTGACAGAAATGCTTGGAGGAGTCTTAGATTCAAACTACATCCTGCACTAAGTTTTCCAGGGAAACTCTGAGAAAGGTGCTGCTTTGCAATGGTGTGATCAAAACCAGGTAATACATCACAGGTACTGAGGGTCAATACTCTCAAATGGAGGAAGACTCTTGTATCATACTATAAAATCTGCAAGCTATCTATTTTTGGGGAAGCCAGCACCACATGGAACTCATCAAAAACTACTATTATTGCCAAAAGGGCTTCCCAAGCTCCTCCTCGAAACTGAGAACAGAATATGCCTGTGCTCCATATCAGACTTCAGACTGGTAGAAACTGGCCTCAGAACAAATTCAGCTGCCAGGGGAGGACTGACATAGCACACTACAGCTCTGTTCTGTGTCCTTTTCTCTTTGCTTTGCATGCTCTTTGTTTTGTTTTGTTTTGTTTGTTTTGTTTTGTTTTGTTTTGTTTTGTTTTTTGAGGCAAGGAGGTGGAGAGGAAGCACAGACCTAGACATGGCACATCTGTGATATGCATTATGGAAATTCTCAACAGGGAACATACAACTAGACAACAGTACTTTACAGAAGCTGAGCAAAAGCATTTCAAATGATTTGTTTATGGCACAAATCTATATTAATTATCTACTTTTGTCTAGCCTAGGCCCAAGAGAGACTTTACCCCTATTCAACTATTCAGTCAGCTGAAATAGACATATAAAAACCATTTGTCAAAATGCTGCCCAGATAGGTGGTAATTTCCTGTTTAAGCACTTTGAATGTACATTTGTCTCTCTCTGTAATTAGAGTATTTTTACATTCTGTGGTTTACTGCACTTCATGTGTGTGTGTCTGTGTGTGTGTATATATATATCTATGTATATGTTCTTTTTCTTCAGACAATAATCTTTTTCAGGAAGGGCTGAAACAGGGATTTCAAAATCAAACATCCCTTTAGCTTTAATGTTAAAGTTCACAGTCTGTTATAAGCTTGGTAAATCAAATTTTCTTTCCATAACATTTCTCTGAACTATAAAAATATTTACTATGATCTTTATTTCCATCAAACATAGTTATATTTGGTTTTGTGACATAATTTGTTTTTAAGAGCACTAAAACTTAAAGTATTCTAAGCAAAACTAAAAAGTCCTCTGCATTTTATTTAATGCAAATCATATTTTTAAAAGTCAAGAGAAAAAGTCTCTGAAGTTGATACAGTGCTTACATTTTCTTCAGATGAAAAAGTCTTAAAATTGAAAAGCTTTTAAAGGACTTCTATAACTGTGACCAGTTAAGATTTTGTATGCTTTTCCTGAGTCATCAAAATATGGGAAAAAAAAATAAATCCTCTACACCATCTTTGAGCAGGTTACAACTAATAGTATTAGATTATTAATGCAATTTCTATGGGATATGTTTGTGTTTTTTTACTTTTATTTTTATTTTTTTCAGCCTGAGAGATAATATTTGATGAAATGTACTTTAGTTAAATTAGTTATCTTTCATGACATGTTTTTTTTATATTTAGTTGGTTCATATTTTGAGTATAGGGCTGGAAGGCAGGAGAGCTGAAGTGATATCCTAACCCTGCTGAAGTCAATGAACATTTTAGCATTTTCTTCAGCGGAATCAGAAACTAAACCTTAGATTTACTTCATGCATTACCACTGATCTGGGTGGCAAAAGGAAAATTGCATTACATTGTGTGTTTTTCCTGCCCCAGTCAGCATCAGTCTCTCCTATGTGAACTGTAATTTTGGAATATTTGCCTATCCTTTGGGAATTTAAATACCTAGTACCCTGATTATCTATTGCTGGAATGCTAAATTCCAGTGTGCAGAGAAATAAAATAGAAAGGGGAAGGAAAAAAAAATAAAAATAAAAAATGAGAGAGGCTATTATGATATTAATGCCCTTTAGAGATAGAAACTTGCCCTTCCTAAGCCACTGCTTAAAAATCTTACTTGGAGTGTGATAGACCAGCAGTTTTGCCCTCTCTTAAGCATGAGGCTATGGAGTTTCTCTTCCTTCTTCTCCCACTCAAACTTTGAAACTGTCATCAAAAACTACCTTGAAAAAAATGAACTCAATCACAGCAACACAAGCTGAGACTACAGCTTCACCAACAGGTTACCACAGGAAAAGATGTACCGTGAATTTGCATTGTCTGTTGGATGTTATACAGTAACTGTTTGCACAGGCACTCTTATCACCAGTGAATACAAGATCATTTTGAGGTAGCTTACCTGTCAAGAAAAAGGGGTTGCTCATTCAACTGCACATACAAGCCAGAAAACCTTCTCAGATGGAGGATTTGAGTCCAAATCCTTTGTATGCTGGGTGAGTGCAGAACAGATGAAATTACTTGTAGTTGTAACCTCACCTACCAACCAGAAAGTCAGTTTTGTATATAGCAAGTTTCCTTTTGTTGAAACTTATAAAGATGCCACAAAGTGTTGTTGAATTAGTTTTCCAATTAGAGGGGGGAAAAAACGGAGAAAAATTCACAACAAGCCACAGTCATGATCTCAGCAAATGCCTCAAAGTGTTGCTGTCAAACAGAGATAAGTAAGAAAATATAGCTTAAGGCATATGGGAAGCTCTTTTGTGTGATTTTTTTTTTTTTTTTCCTAACACAAAGCAAGAAAAGTCAGGCAATTTTGTAGTATCTATACATTTTAACCACCATTAAATTAAGCAAAATTAAAAATAGCGATAATAAAAATGGGAATTAGTTTCTAAAGTATGAATGGCTCCTGCTGTGGTTTGAATTCAAACAAAAGCTTCCATCTCTACCTCCAAATCTACAGTGCCTAGGTGGATATCCTGCTGGGAACTATTAGTAAAATGATGGTTCTCACTAGGAGATCATTCATAGTTATTAAAATATAGTAGAACCTTACAAATCCATGTACCATATAGCTTCTCAGAAAGAGATTTTTTTTCTTTCCATTTCTCAGACATGGAAAATTCATACAGCAATCTCTCATTTATATCTTCTCTACGATGTGTTTAGGAAACATATTGCTCTGCATGTAGTAATGAGTTAAGGAACATTATAAATCAATGAAAATAAAGCATAGCTTTTCAAATGAATGAAAAATTTATTTAATACTATATCTCCCTTGCTTTTCTAATTGTGATTACCCATTTGCAAAACCAAACCAACCAAACAAACAAAAACCCCAAAACAAACAAGCAGACCAAATAATTTCCACCAAGCATCCTCTACATTAATAGATGTAAAGCCAGAATTATTATCTGTTTCAGATAGTTCCTTAAACTTGATTTCTGCTGTGAAAACAGAGGAGTTGATAGTCGGCTGAATATGAGCCAGCAGTGTGCTCAGGTGGCCAAGAAGGCCAACAGCATCCTGGCTTGCATAAGAAACAGTGTGACCAGCAGGGCTAGGGAGGTGGTCGTCTCCCTGTACTCGGCTCTGGTGAGGACGCACCTTGAGTACTGTGTTCAGTTATTGGCCCCTCGCTACAAGAAGGACATCGAGGTGCTTGAGCGGGTCCAGAGAAGGGCAACGAAGCTGGTGAGGGGTCTGGAGAACAAGTCCTACGAGGAGCGGCTGAGGGAGCTGGGCTTGTTCAGCCTGGAGAAGAGGAGGCTCAGGGGCGACCTTATTGCTCTCTACAGGTACCTCAAAGGAGGCTCTAGCGAGATGGGGGTTGGCCTGTTCTCCCACGTGCCTGGTGACAGGACGAGGGGGAATGGGTTTAAGTTGCGCCAGGGGAGTTTTAGGTTGGATCTTAGGAAGAACTTCTTTACTGAAAGGGTTGTTAGACATTGGAACAGGCTGCCCAGGGAAGTGGTGGAGTCACTTCCCTGAGTTAGAGATGATCTGGAGACAGTTTGGACCTAGGCTTTGTTGTATGCATGAGCAGAGCTACCCCAATGCTAAGGTTTGTCAGTGATCCTTCTTCAACTTCTCTTCTGCAATATGAGCATCAATTAGCATCGTAAGAAGGTGTTTGCAGTCTTTTTAAAGTATCACTAATTTCCCATGACTCCTAAGGAAAGTCTCAGAGGGGCTGGACTAATGAAGGTTTTATTGATTAACTCTCACAGTCTGGCCTGGGAATACTTAAACCCTGGGCCTAGGTTTAGCGTTGATAGAAAATATGTCCCGTTCCCTTTATGAAGAAAGGAGTTGGAGGTTAGTGTAATCAGAGATGGGAGTTCTTACTGGAGTTTTAAAAATTTACATTTAAATTGTGTTTATTATTTACAGGTTGCTAATCTGCAAGCATGCACATATGACCAGAAACATTTTTGACTTTCATTCATTTAACCAAAAAGAAAATTTTAAGTAAACAGCAGTCTCCTTGCTGATCCAAAGCAGAATATTATCAAACCGGTGAAGTGAACTTGGGGCTTGAGCACAGGTGCAGGTACCTTCAAGCAAAGCAGACAACTGTTAGTCTTCCTTTTAAAAATTATTTTTTTCTTTGGCTGGCACAGGAAGGATGAACCAAGGCAAAAGACAGACATAAGTATTTCTTACCTCAGTTTCTTCAACATGAATGCGTTAATCATCCTCCTACATTAAAGTGGTTTCTTGTCCCTTCTCTAGACTCCGCTTTTGTTCTTCCTTCTTTTTCATTGAACTAGATACATAACAGTTTCCTTCTCTGACAGTTCCAGAATGATTAATCTGTCCATCCCCATCCTTCTTCTGTATCTACTTCCTTTCTCCCATTTTCTTCTATTAGTTTCCAAGTGTTCTCTAATCCTTATTTCTGCTTCCTATTTTTTTTCTGTTCATCCCAATTATAAAAAATACAGGATGATCATTTTCCCTGAAGGCAGACTGTCTTGAGTCTCACTGAAAACAAAATATGGGTAGTAGTGCTCATCATTATTGAATTTCATGCATATAGCCTCTAGGAATATGATGGTCATTTTGATTTAAAGCAGTGTGTTTTTAGCCTTCCTGAAAGGCATAGTAGCTGACAGACACTTTGAATTAGCAGAAAATTTGCATATTTATACCAAGGTCTATGGGACATTCACAACATCCCATGTCACAAAGGAAATGAGGAGATCATGACAGCTGACAATGTCCTGTTTTAGGTTGACCTCTCTCTGCATGATCACTCTTCTTGAATATTAATCTAGTTTATATTTCACAACTGTAAAAAACTGTGCCTGGATCAGGGAAATCTGCAATGCAATAACTACAATAGTGTGTACCCCTAAATTAAACATCCTTCCTTGCTGTTACACTGCAAATTCAGCTGGGGACCTTCTGCACGGGTTAAATACATGACTGCAGAAATAATGTAAAGTAGAGAATATGTCTTAATTGGGATTTAGTTTTAACACTATCTAAGGACCTACTGTAGCATTTTTTCTAGAAAGAAGTTATCTTCCTATCACACACACAAAGACACTGCTCAGAGATTCATGTAAGCTTATTGCAACTGTCTCTACACTATTGATCCTGCAGTTGTTCTGTAAAGCAATTGCAAACAGTAAGTCATCATTGCATGTTAGTCACAAGAACAAAAGTAGCAATGAATTTGAATACAGATTCTGACCTGCTTTTAGTGTCTTTGAACATCATAAGAAATTTAAGCATCCCTAACCCAAACCTTGAATCTTAGACAGTGGAATAAATGCAGTTTACAATACAGAAATGCTTACTGGTTCATCTTTAATTCTACAGCACATAGGAAAGCTATTGCATTATAAAACTGATGTATTTGAAATGCTGCTATTTGCAATACTAGTAATGCTTAAAATGTAATATAAGACTATGTTTCTAGTATAATAGCAAGTAGATTACATTTCAAAGAGAAAGACATCTTAACAAAAGCATGTATGGATAATGACAAATAGAGGCACAGAAGATATTCATAGTTTGTAAGAGTATTTCTTTTGCACAGTATTAGTGTTTTGTGCACATTAACTTAAGCAAACAATGGGGATGTCTGGTATCTTTGCTTTAGCCATGAATGGAAATATTTAAGGATATTGATGTTTGCATGAAAACAGATCTAAGTACCAGTTTTACTTAAAAATATGATAAAGAATCATTCAGTGTTTTAAATGATGTTTCTTCTATACAACAAAACTTGAATAGTTGATACTATTAAGCATGTTGCATACAGCAGAGTTTAAATTTGTTAAGCAAAAGCAAGAATAAAGCATATTCCTGAAATAGAAGCATGGACATGACCTTGCTACAATATTAAGTATTCTGTAGGAAGCTATTAAACAAGAATCAGATACGTATACTCACTGTAATTTGAGGAGATTTACATTAGAGTCACACACACACACACACACAGTAGTTAGAAGGGACCTGAAAATGTTGCCTCATCTGTACTTCCATCATGAGTTAAGAATCCAGAGATTTGTGTAACTTGGTCCAAAAGACATCCAATGACAAAAATGTTATAGCTTTCTCAGGCAATCTCTTTTAGTATATCTCTATCCTCAGTGTTAATGAGGACAGAATTAAGTCAGAAGATATTTTCTGGGCACCCACATTCAACATGAGATAGTCTTAATGCAAAAAAGGCTTTATATGGTAATATGTTTCAATGAATGTAAATGTCTCAAGTCTTGAGCTACTTTTTTCAGCATGAAATGCAGCCTTTTCAAGAACTCTTTGCCGTAGGAACTAATTAGCAGTCTGAAATTTGAAATGCTTAAATGCATGATTATTTGTATTATTCACATTTTTGCTCCTCCAGTAGTCTTCATGAAAGAAATTTTTCTGTCATCACCAGCTGCCATGAAATAGGATTTACTGAACATGTTTCTGGGTCCACAGAGCTAAGCCATTCTTTTAATTCATATAAAATAAACCATACTATTTGATATAAACTCTATTCATTATTTAAATATCATTAGATTGTATGAGAAAGAGGAAAGCATTTCAAGGCATAATTTAGATAGCTTGTTAGAGTTATGAAGTGCTGTTGATGATACATTAAAGAAAGGTAATTAAAGGAATTGGTGAAGTGCTAGACATGAATGTTTAAATTCTTTATATGGTAAACTCATTTTGTATTGTAATAAACTTTGGCATTGCAAATGAAATACACCACCTGGCCCAATTATGTTACATATATATAATATATCTGTATGCTATATACCTCTGCCTGCTACTTAATATATGTAAGAGCTGAAGGATAAAGGTATATTAGGAGGGAGTCACAATATCATAGAATAACCTGAGTTGGAAGGGAACTGCAATGATCATCAAGACCAACTCCAGGCTCCACACAAAACCGTACAAAAAATCAGACCATGCATCTGAAAGAATGGTCCAAATGCTTCTTGAACTCTTTCAGGCTCGGTGCCATGACCACTGTCCCAGTGCCATGACCACCCTCTGGGTGCAGAATCTTTCCCTAACCCCCAGCCTGATCCTCCTCTGTCCCAGCTCCATGCCATTCCTTTGGGTCCTGTCGCTGTCCCCAGAGAGCAGAGCTCAGCGCCTGCCCCTCTGTTCCTCTCATGAGAAAGCTGCAGGCCACCATGAGGCCTCCCCTCAGCATCCTCTGCTCTGGGCTGAACAAGGACGTCCACTTCTCCTCATACATCTTTCCCTCTGAACCTTCTCCAACTCTGTAGCCTTCTTTGGGACACTCCCTGATAGTTTTGTGTCCCTCTTATATTGTGGTGCACAAAATAGCACCCAGTACTTGAGGTGAGGCTGCGACAGTGCATACCAGAGCAGGAAGTATCTCTTCTTTTGACCAGCTAGCTATGCCATGTTTGATGCACCTCAGGGTGTGGCTGGCCCTTTTGGCTGCCAGGGCACACTGCTGACTCATGTTCAACTTGCCGTCAACCAAAACCCCCAGATTACTTCCTGTGGGGCTGATCTCCAGCCTCTCATTCCCCAGTCTCTATGTATAGTCAGGGTTTCCCTTTCCAAGGTTCAGAATCCAGCACTTGCTCTTGTTAAAATTCACATTTGGTGATTCCCCATCCCTTTAGACTGTCAAGATCTCTCTGCAAGGCCTCTCTACCCTTGATGGAGTCAACAGCTCCTCCTAATTTAGTATCATCTGCAAACTGAGTATGCATTTTAGTCCTGTATCCCAACCATTTATAAAAACATTGAAGAGTACAGTCCCCAAAACGGAGCCCTGGGGAACCCCACTCATGACTGGCTGCCAGCCTGATGTAACCTCATTTACTGTAATCTTTGAGCCCAACCCATCAACCAATTGTTCACATATCATATTATTCACTTGTCCAGCTGTATGCCAGACATTTTATCCAGAAGGATACTGTAAGAAACAGTATAAAAATTTTGCTGAATTCCAAAAAGATAGCATTTACCAGTTTCCTTTGGTCAACCAGATGGGCAACTTACCATAAAAT